GATGTCCGAGTGGCCAACGGTTTGCCTGCGGCACGGGAGATCTCGCCCGCGACCTGCCCGGCAGCGGCGGCGGCGGCAGAAGCATCTGGGCCTGCAAATTTGTGGGGGGGGGGGGGGGTGAGGCGCTAACATCTTGCCTGGCATGTTTGTTGGGGGCGGATGGTAGCGTGTTGCCTCACTTATGAGTTGCTTTCGGATGCTACACACATGATTGTCCTTTGGCACAAGCTGGAGCCCGTTTGCTACAGCCCGTTTGGGCCCCCTGAGCATGACCTACCAAAAACTTGAGATTGCCTGTTGGAACCTGAAAACAAGACCTTTAGACATTACTGAGGGGCAAACAAGAGCCTTGCGTGTGTGATTTGATTAAAGCATGTACGAAGCTAGTGATCTGGCAGTACAGTAACTCAACCAGACATGCCTGCCCCCTTCAAGCACAGCCAATGCATGCCATTTGCTTCCAGAAATTGTGCAGGTCACCCGCTCCGTTCAATGGTCCAAGCTTGAAAGACTCAGGATCTTCCGGAGATGTGATCAGAAGCCGCTATGTTGTCCCAAGAAGAATGATTCTGCAAATCATAACTCTAAAAAGTGGGATTCCCCTAAGTCTGAAGGTCAAGCGGTTGCTGATTTTTTTCTAGGGCTTGAGTGCCACACGCAAAAACAGGGGAACCGGCAAAGCCAATAGCCGGCGAATGGGGAGTGAGTCAACGGGCTCTTGACTGCCACAAAGATGGAAAACATCTGGCGACTTGCTGGGAGACGCACTAGGTTGAACTCCGAAACACAGGATTCTTCAAACCAGGGACTTCATCCATGGTCTTGGGGCGTGCCTACCATGAAAAACTAGAAACTGATTTTGCCCACCAAACCAATTGCTGTACACTTCATGATAAGTCGAATCCGCACGCAACGCCCTGTGGCCATCATACTTGCCCAGCAACTGTTTTGGCCTCTTGGCTTCAGGCAAACATGACAATCCTCCTAGTAGTTCCAGGCACATGTGCTAAAAACCACCCAGTCTATCTAACATGAACCGGAAGGGCATTCCCTTGAAGGAAACCACAAGAAATAGGTTCATGGGGGGTCGCTCCAACTCATTCCCGCCTATCGAACAAGCCAGCTCAAACACCACTGAGAAACTGAACAACACTCTAAACTCAGCATCCCTCTAATTTGTGGTTTGGATTGGTGGCGTAGTGGTTAAGGAAGGGTTTTCCCATTAAACCGCTACAAGAACCAAGGGGAAACCAGCAATCCAAACCACAAATTAGGTAGGGAAGGAGAGTTAACCCTTAGAGGCGATCCGTTGGATTCATAGCATCGGGGAGTTTCTAACTCATGGTCGATCTCTTGACACTAACCTTCCGGAAATAGGTGTGATTCTTTATGCTGGAATCTGTGGACATCATTTGGGTGGTGATTTATGCCCACAAACTATTTGGGAGGTGGTTCCTTAATCTCACTTGGCCAGTGACCAGCCCAAAACAAGTGTGCACTTTTTGGGCCACCACTAAATTCAAGGGAGAGACACCAAGGAAAAAAGTAACCTTGTGACCCAAGCACTTGTGCTCTTTTCTGCAATGACGTGATACACAGTGGCCCAGCTGGCCTACCAACACAGGCCAGCGGTGGGAGCAAAACTCTGCCACAGCTCAACCAACCCAGGGGGCAACCCCCTTCCTAACAAGTTGAGCTGGACAAGCTCTGAGATGCAATATGCATTGGGATCAACAGGTTCGATGCTTGCCAGCTGCAGTCAAGGCAGCTCGTAAAGTGTGTCCACTGGCTGGGAAAGTAATGAAACTCATGGCCAAATGACCAAATGCTGCCTCAGGCGCTTGAGGCTTTGGCGAGCTCCAGGACCTTCTGACACCCCACCTCCATGGCCCTCTCACCCGTCTCCAGCCTGGCGGCGGCCAGGCCTCGGCGTGCGAGGTCGCTGTTCGGAGGCCCCGGAAACGTTCCCCAGGCGAAGAAAGAAAGATCAACAAAGAAATCAGCAAACAATATTATACCATGTAAGCAGGCAAAGGCAACCAAGCCGAGACCAACAACACAACATGCAAATATATACATATAATTTCATATAATACAACGTAAGCAGGCAAAGGCAACCCAAGCAACTCTCCAGCACTCTGTCAACCAACCAGCGCACCAAGGGAAAAAAACAGCAAGCAGGACAACCCACGAAAGGCTCAAAACCACACTGATGACACGAAGAAACCCCTTACCGACGCTTTGGGCTTCCCTTTGAAGCCGCGGCGCCGGCCGCCACGGCCGCCACGTGGCGGCACACCTCCGCGTCCCGTCCGGCGCTTTTGGCAGCGGCCGCCGCCAGCTTCTCGGCGGTTTGGGCGGAGGTGGCGAGGCGGGCGCTGAGGCGACTCAGGGCGAAGTTCGCTAAGTTCAGGTCCTGGCGCAGTCCCAGCTGACATGGGTGTGGGTCAAAAATAGGCACCCAGAATGGAACCCTAGTAAATGCCAACATGCGGTCCCCATGACCCATACCCACATGGCAAGCTTGAGGAAGATTTGATTCGCCCAATGGCACACTACATAGGGGTGTCGCCCCACCAGTGCCTGAACCCGTGTCAGGTTGGCACTTGCAACTATTAGTCGCCCAATGGCACATGGCAAGCTTGAGGAATATTTGATTAATGGCAATGAGCAAAACTGGCAAGCTTGAATAAAATTTGATTAATGGCAACGAGAAAAACTGGCAAGCCTGAAGATTATGTTTGATTGGCCCAATGATCAAAACGTGTGGTCAGGATCCTGGTCTTCGTGTTTGAAGAAGGTGTTCAGGTCATACGGAATGTGCTGAGGCCAACATGCTCTAAGAATGAGCTTCCTCTCTTGAAAGGCATCAGGATCAAATAGGGGCTGCTATGTCCTGGAGCATCAAAGTGTCACTAAGTAGGTCCGCGCACAGCACTCCCAACATGATGTCCTTGAAACCAGCAGTCTGCCGTTTCAGAAACCCGTTGGAAACACATATGTAAAGGCGTTTGCTATTCGAATCGAGTCCACAACAGGGCGCTGGTACTTCCCCAAGTAAAATGCGCTCACATTCTCCGAAGGAACTCTTGTCAAAACACAGACTGAATATCCCTCCATCGCAACCAGACCACACCTTCCCAACAATTTCACCTGTACAACCCTCCTCTACTGTGATCGCAACTGTTTCAGCCAATCCCAGGCTTCAGTTTGTCCCAAACACTCAAAACAAGCTATCCACATTTGTCCAACAAGATGGTTGCTTCCAGCTGCCTGGATTTCCCCAAATCAAAAGTTGCTCAATTCACTAACATCCATCGAAAAGTATCACCACTATTATGTTGCAATATATGAGAATATGGACTGGAGGAACCCCTCTTACAGAGGGTTCACCACTTGAGGTGAACAATGGGAAATGCCTCACAAAACCTGGGGGACCGGGATCCGCTCCTCCCCCCCCCGCCCCCAGCCCCGAGCGCCGCTCGCCCTCGGGCCTGGCTGTCGGAGGCCTCCTCCGCGGCGGCGGCCGCTTGGGCGGCCTTGCAGCAGGCCGCCTCCGCGTCGAAGCCGAGGGACAGCGCCTCCTGCGCCATCGACGGGTCGGGTCGGGTGAGGCGCACGCGGGGGTCGGGTCAGGTGGGGGGTCGGGTGGGGTTGGGTGGGTGGGGGTGGGTGGGTGGGGGGCGGGGGTCAGGGATCGACCTGGCCTCATGATTTTGCCACGATCAAAGTCACCCTAAGTGGTGAGTTCATGGGAAACAACCCCCATTTTCTGACTTTGATAACCCGAAGCCGTCAACAAAAATGACCCCAGTCGACGGGTCGGGTGAGGTGCCGGCGGGGTGGGTGGGTGGGTGGGGGGCGGCGGGGTCCTACGTGGTTGTGGGAATTATGGTCTACCTGAATATTGCAAAACCCCCCTCAACCCCCCCCCCTCCCGCCCCAAAAAAAAGAAAATAAAAAGACAAGAAAAAGAAGGGCGGTTTTCTCTTGGCGGAAACCTTCCGCCCTCAAGAAACAACAATGAAAGAACAAGGAAAGTGGCTTTCTGTTGGTGGAGGTTGTGATGTTTCGGATTGCTATTTGGTATTTGTCAAAGAGCCTGGGTAAGATGAGGGAATGGCCCCAAACTGAACCATCCTGGCGAGTTCTTTTTAAGGGTATCGCCTCGCTCAGTGTTCCTCCTACAAACGGAGCTGACGGAGAGTCGCTGCTTGACATCCCATACCTTCATGCGAAGCAAGTACTCCAAACACAACCAATACACTAAGGGCATTTTCCAATAGCTGTCCGTTAATTGTTAGTTTTATCACCACGAGGTGCGTATTGCATGCAAGCTAGGCATGGCTACGTGTGCAGGAATTTTGATTGGGTCCCTTTGCAGGACACGGCATACATCGGAATTTGTGTCTTTTGAAGAAGGTCCTTCTCAAAACTCACAGCCGCCTTTGCAACGCAACTTCGATCACTTTGAGCTCTGTTCCAAGCAGGTGGCCTACAGTTTGGAGTCAGGAAGAGCCATCGCATTCTCATTCCGGCCCGTATGAAACCATGCAGTATCTGTCCAGGGGCGAACGTCCATCTCAAAGGTCCACACCCCCCGTGGCTGCTTGTGGATGTGCCAATAGGTCTCTGAGATCTCATCTGCAAGGACGATGCCCTGCTGTGGGCCCTTCAGCTCCTTCAGCTGCTGGAACATTTTGGGCGCGAACTTGCCCAGCGTGTCCGGCGAGTCCACCAAGCCGTCGATCACCACATGTGCCACGTGGATGCCCTGTGGCGCCAGCTCGTGCGCCAGCGACTGCGCCACCGCGCGCCGGCCCATCATCCCCGCGCTGTGCGCGGCCTGGCCCGAGTTGCCCCGCAGCGCCGCGGTGGCGCCGGTGAAGAGCAAGGTGCCCCTGCCGCGGGCGAGCATGTGCTTTGACACCGCCTTGCCCAAGACAAAGGCGCTCACGCATCCAAGCTGCCACGCGATGTTGAACACACGCATGTCAAGCTTCTGGATCGGACGATCGCCGACATTCGCCCCAATGTTGCACACAGCGACCTCTATTGGGCCCAGGTCTCTTTCGATCCCCTCCACGAGCTCGGAAACAGCTTGCTCGTCAGCTGCGTCGCACAAGAAGGCTTTGGCACGGCCGCCCTGCGACTCGATCTGCTCTGCCAAAGCCTCTAACTTCACCTTGTCTCGTCGGCGCACCAGGCACACGATAAAGCCTTCTCGAGCAAAGCGTCTGGCAATGCCCGAGCCGATGCCGGACCCAGCTCCCATGATGAGGCAAACAGGGGACGCCATGGCCGGGAAAGATGCACTGGAATCTCAAAACCCTTCCAGAAGGAACCCTCCGCAACAGAATTGCTTGTCTTTCCGTCGATCTGCTTATCTTCATTGTACCGGAGCCGAACACTGAGCTTCGATTCACTTTCAGCCTCCGGCATCAAATGAATCGCACTGCTAATTACACCCTTTATATGGGTATGATTTTTAAATAGGGACCCTTTGGTGGACATCATTTCGGTGGGGATTTGTGTCCATCAGTCACTTTTCAGGAGGTTCCCCATTAAAATTTATTGCCATATCAACCCACGCGAGACCGGAACCAGCTGATGCACCGGGAAATGCAACCCAGCAGATCGGAAACTCTGCATTCGCCGTAAAGCCCATGCCTGCTAAATAACTTGACATGTCCAACATGGACAGATTCAAATCACTGGCTTGTTGAGTCCGTGGCAGTTTTAGTGCAATGCATCCTGGGGCTTGCCATAGTTTGAACGCTAGAATCAGCCGCTAGAAGGCGCTCCCAAATGCTCCAAAACATGAGCCTCTTAAGCATGGGTGTCCCTTGATGGCATAGATGGCACTGGCAAATGAAAATCAAAACAAACTGAAACCAGTGCAATCCATCTAATTTTTCCCAAGCTGACATCAAAAGGACACCCAGGCGGCTGGGCTGTCAAAAGGCAATCTGAAATATCTTCGGGGTAATTGGCAACAAGGCCCCTAAAACACCTACCACCAATTCTGTTGGCCATCCTATAGTTTCCCAACAAAACCCCAAAGATTTATTTTGGGGTTGAAACCACCATTAAAGCAATGGGGCTTAATATCACCACCATTCTTTACCTAAGGAACATTCTTGTAATTGCAGGGAAAGGAACCCTAGGATCTCATGTTGACCCCATATTAACCAACCCCTGTTTAGTTTCATAGGGGGGTGTCCTTGGGTTTAGTGGGAGATCAGATCACTTTTTGAGGTGCCCCCAGTCCCCCCCAATCAGAAACAGGTCGGTTGAGGTCGACATTGACTCGTCTCAAGATTCCAAAACTTCTGCGGTATCGCAATCTTGGATTCTATTTGAAACAAGTCCATGAATCATCATCCATGAGTCATCATCTATTTGCACTAAGTTCCCCATGAATCATCATCCAAATTGGGTCCTTGCCGCTTTTTGGGGGGGACAAGCAACTCTAAGCTCCAAGTTTCGCCTGGGGCCAAGTCCCGTCGCCTTCCGCCCCCGCGCCCCCCGCGCCCCGCGCGGCGCCCCCGCGCCTCTGCCGCCGCCTCGGCGGCCGCCAGCACGGCCCTCGCCGCCAGCGGCGGGGCGGAGCCGCCGCCGCCAAGCGGCGGCGTCGGCGGCGTCCGCCGCCGCCAGGAGCTCCGTGACCTACCGGGGCATTGGAACGGCAGAGACCATACAGTGGATGGACGAAGTGACGAAAACCATTTCGCAGCACCTAAGAAACCCGGGAATCATGGTTGAAACCACGTTTGTTGGTCTTTACAGGAAAATCATCATTCCAAGGTTTCTTGGGTGGTGGGATTTCGTCCATCCACATCTCTCACTTAACAGGTGATCACCTTTTGGGGGCCACCAAAAATGAACCAACATGAAAACCAACAGGTTTCTAGGTCGATTCGCTTTGGACAACTGTGGAATGTGGGAATGAACCCAGGGATTCAAGGAAACCACCAGTTGGATGGTTTATAGGGGTCATTCCATGTTGCTTTCCCTGCTGAACACCAGAAGGTTAAACTAGGTCCTCCAGTAGAGTGCTTAGAATAAGGGTGCGAACCTTTTTTTTCTGTGGTCTGTTTTTTTAGGGGAACCCTCCCCCCAAAAAGGGGTGAGAAAGGGCACTACTGGGGGACCTAGATAGGCGGGTTGATCAAAAGGTCCGATGAACATACGAGGAAAACCACTTGAGGGAAGCTTCCGGAGCTCGTCGCTTGCGGCGTTTGTGGATCCACCACTGTTGGATGTTAAAAGAGTAGAAGATCATCAGGGGGAAGGCCGGGTGAAATCCACGAAAAAATACATCCAAACTCCTTAATAGGAATTGGATGACTGAATGGTTCATAGCAACCAGAGGCATTTCCTCCTGGGAAAAAAACAAACAAAAAAACGGAAGTGAACACCACCGTTCAGAAACCCAACAGTTTCTGATGAGTCCTGCTGTAAATGCCAACAAACGTTCCGGTGTCAACCATGGTTTCGAGGCGGTGCAGGATTTTGTCCATCCGCAGTCGCATGTCCACCGGTAAAAACGTCCAAGCACCAACAGAAACTGACGCCTGAGCAGGCGCGTATCGTTTCGAAGAAAAAAAATACAAAAAAAAACAAAAACAAGAACGGCCAAACACCTGCACAAACAAGTCGAGGTCCTATACTAGGATTTCCTGGCTTCTGAAACTTATCCTTGGATCCTTAAGGCTAGGAACCATGTGAAATGTGTTTGGTTCTATTTAGGTACTTTGGCCGCCTAAGCACTGAAATAGCTTTTTCGCGGCTCCTGAGGGACACGCATCCGTGTCAGGTTCTATTTACTTTGACCCCCAGAGAACCCGCTGAAGGCTCAAGTTGCACTTGCATCCTCATAGGAAGTCTCAATTGGAGGCGTTTTCTTGTGCTCCACCCCTTTGGATATCAGGAACCAGCACATCAACACACAAACAGCTGGTTCTTGCTTGACATGTAGAACCAAATGACGCATGTACAACTGAATTCTTGGGGAGGGGTGTTGGGCAACGATCGTCTAACTCAATCTGGATGTCAAAACCGATGGCAATTTTGTTCCATGGCTCGCTTGCCTGCGGGTTGTGCATCCATCTTGCTTGCTTTGTTTGTGTTCGGAACGCGCACATCCATTGGAACAAATGGGCAGGTAGTAGCTAGACGAGTACTTGCTATATATTTATTGCAAGCTTATTGTGAGAAACGTTCAAATCATGACACCCTCCCACGGCATCCACAACCAGGAGGGCATGTGCCGACGGAGAGGCTACTGGACCTTGGCCCTGTGCTGCCGCGATGGCTCTGCTATACTGTGGATGGGAGAAATCCTCCACCACCTAAGAAATCCTGGAATGATGATTCCCCTGTAAGTACCAACCAACAATGGTTTCGTTTTGTTTCAAATGCGATATGGGTTTCGTCCATCCACAGTAGCTGGGAAAGAAAAGCTTTTTGGTGGCACGACACGCTCCAGGTCTGACTAAGCTTGATTGTACCAATGTACCAATGTGTTGCTTTTTTCATCTGACAGAATACCGGCTGAGTCAGGCGCAAAGTCAGGTGCAAAGTCAACGGCAGCAGAAACATGTGCAGGCTGGCTACTAGGATATTCTTGCGCTAAATGGTTGACCAGCAAGTTGCAATGTCGGGTTTTATTCAGATGCCTACAGCTTCTTTGCATTGCAAGGTCTGACTCTGGCCTTCATGCTGACCCACAGTGTGAAATGCGCCATCGAGGTATTTGCACAGTGACCCTCCAAACAATTCTCGAGTGCATACTCTTGTTCATCCAAGGCACCAGCAATCAACAAAGGTCGTCAAAACATTGGTCTCATGAAGTTTCATGTGTGCGTCCTTTAGAGCTCCCAAACCATTTGGCATATGCAGCCGCAAAAGCACACAACAAAACGGATAAGGACAAAAGAAACAACGCGAGCATGCACACAGCGTTGCGAACATAGCGAGCGCTTGCCCCTGCACACGTCCAAACACGAATGTTGCCAGCCTTGCATGGGGCCGGCCAACCAGCACGCTCCAAGTCCCTGCAGTATGCCTGCCGTACTGACGCGGACTCCCACTAAAGGCTAACAGGCATCCTCGGTTTGTTTGACGACCATTCTACGCGAAGACGAGTGCAAGCTCGTTGAACTTCGCAGCTGGCCCATCATTCCACATCATGCCTTTCCTTGCAATCTCTGTTGATTAGTGTAACTGTTGTTCCGAGCCTCAAGCCCAATGTTGGCTGATTCTGAACCAGGGGAAGGGGCCGAACATCATCTCTGAGAACGTGCAGGGGTCAGTCATGCTTGTTTGTGTCCACTTTGTGCACAAGACAATTGGCAAACTTGAGCTTTGGACAAAGGGGCGCAACCGTTTGTGCATAGGGAATCGCAGTGTGTTTTGGCTGTCGGGCGCGCTGATCTGCTTCGTCAGCATACACCCCACAGCAGGGTACTTGAAAAGTCAACTTCCTTTTGCAGGGAAGTCCTGTCAGGTGGTGCTAGTGGCAGGAAGGGTGAAGGCTATTGATGGTTTGCATGAGACTTCGACAAACGGGGTAGCCTCTAACTTGGTTGGTGTCCAGGCTGTTCAAAGGAGCCACCATGGGAATCCTGTTTGCTTCATTGGCCACATTGGTGTTCACTCGAGTGGTCAATCACAGCCAAGCTGTTGCCAACCAAGATGCAAATAAAGCAAACTCCCTATTTCTGACTTCGCCCACTGACCAGCAAAGCAATTGATACAACACATCCTCACTCACACCAACTAGCCAATGAAGCCTGCAAGTATTTTGCCTTTGCGCCGTGGCGTGTCAAGTTCGCTCCAATGTCGGGCTGTGGGGTATCGCGAGTACTGCTCGAGTTGTAATTTCCACTTTGGCCAAGCTTAGACCTAGCAAGACAAAGGCTTAAAGTACAACCAACAAAGAGTCTCCCCGGCTTACAAACTTCGGTTGAGATCCCCATGCGGCAACAACGACGTCACCCCCCAACGGGAGCCTCCAAACCTCTGCAGTCCTCCTGCCGAAGCAGTGACAGTGGGAAGCAGCGGACTCACTAGGCTGACTCGCCTCTGAAGTCCATATGACTCCGGTAAACAAACGACCTAATCAAGTGGAGACTTTGGTACATCGTCTTTGGACTCGTGATGCTTGGACTGGAATCTCGTTCTGGGCATCCACGAACCCAAGCACTAACCCCAAGTTGCATACAAATATTCAAAGTATACAATCTCCACAGTTCAGTGGCAGGCCCAAGCAAGCAAGAAGCCACTTCCCGAAAAATTCCCCGCCCAGACGTCTCAAACGGTCGGTTCCATGCCGCGAATCAGCGCGTCCCTCCTCCAGCTGGTCGTTCTGGGCCGCCAGCTCGGCGAGGACCTCCTCGAGGTCTCGCACGGAGAAGTCGCCCTCCAGGGCCTCCACATCCTCGCCCTCCTGTGGGGCTGTGGGGTTGGCTTTGGGGGGCTTTGGGGTTTGGGGGGGGGTTGGGGGGGGCTTTGGGGTTGCGGGGTTGCGGGGTTGCGGGGTTGTGGGCTTTTGTTTTCTTTTTTTGTGTTTTGCTTACAGGGGGGTAGAGAGCCCTTGCCCAAATTGTATATCAAACTCAAGAGTTGTCCAAGTTGCATGGTGTTCCTTTTGGTTTCAGTTTGCAGCCACCAAAAAAGGGGTACTCTAACAGAACACCCCCATTTAGGGATCGGTCACGCATTTCTAATTCAGGACCTGGAACCAAAAGGTGATCACTGATCACCTTTTGGAACTAAAATACTAAACATAGACCAAACTGGGGAACCATGTTAAAAGGTCAAATCGCTTTGGGCAATTGAGTGGTTTATTTTTAAAGGGGGTTGAGGTCCACTTTGAACGCCGCATCAACTCTGAGTTCATCTGCCGTGAAGCTGGCAGCACGTTTGCGTCCCAGATTTTCTGGGCGGCCCCTGTCGCAAAACACCCATATTCAAGCTCAGTTGCTCTTGCACCTGGCTGCTGTCTCCACCACATCCTGGATTACCCCAAGTCACAACAACCCCAGATTCAAGAATGGCAGCAAACGCACCGTAAGTTTTGTGGATGTGCTGGACGTTCCTCAGCTGCTCTTGCGCGTGGCTGCTGTCTCCTCCGTTTTCTGGATCACCCCAGGTCACAACAGCCCCAGATTCAAGAATAGCAGCAAAAGCACCGCCTGTTGCTTGGATGTGCTGGACGTTCCTCAGCTGCTCTTGCACCTGGCTGCTGTCTCCGCCCAAACCTGGATCACCCCAGGTCACAACAGCCCCAGATGCAAGAATTGCAGCAAAAGCACCGTCAGTTGCTTGGATGTGCTGGACGTTCCTCAGCTGCTCTTGCACCTGGCTGCTGTCTCCTCCGTTTTCTGGATCACCCCAGGTCACAACAGCCCCGGATTCAAGAATGGCAGCAAAAGCACTTATAGTTGCTTGGATGTGCTGGACGTTTCTCAGCTGCTCTTGCACCTGGCTGCTGTCTCCGCCGCAGTCTAAACGACACCAGGTCACTACGGCCCCAGATGCCAGCATGGCAGCAAAAGCACCGTCAGTTGCTTGGATGTGCTGGACGTTCCTCAGCTGCTCTTGCACCTGGCTGCTGTCTCCGCCCAAACCTGGATCACCCCAGGTCACAACAGCCCCCGATTCAAGAATGGCAGCAAAAGCACCCATAGTTGCTTGGATGTGCTGCACGTTCCTCAGCTGCTCTTGCACCTGGCTGCTGTCTCCTCCCCAGGCTCCGTCGCCCCAGGTCACAACAGCGCCAGATTGAAGAATGGCACTAAAAGCAGCGGCAGTTGCTTGGATGCACTTGGCGTTTCTCAGCTGCTCTTGCACCTGGCTGCTGTCTCCCCCAAAGATTGGATTACCCCAGGTCACAACCGAACCGGACTCAAGAATGGCAGCAAAAGCACCTAAAGTTGCTTGGATGTGCACGGCGTTCCTGAGCAGCTCTTGCACCTGGCTGCTGTCTCCTCCGTTTACTGGATCACCCCAGGTCACAACAGCCCCAGATGCAAGAATTGCAGCAAAAGCACCGTCATTTGCTTGGATGTGCTGGACGTTCCTCAGCTGCTCTTGCACCTGGCTGCTGTCTCCTCCGTTTTCTGGATCACCCCAGGTCACAACCTCGACCCCGCAGCCATGCCAAGCGAACGCCTTGTTGTTGGCAGCCAGCTTGCCAAGCTGCAACCGCAGCCACTAGGTCCCCATCTTGCAACCCAGCCTGACTCAGCGTGGCCTTCAAATCAAGCTGCCGACCATTCGCACTGAGCTTCAAGCGGCGCCGGAAATGCTGCTGCGCTGCAGCATTCAGCTCGCTGATGGGCGTCTCCGGTGTGACTTCTATGGAGCAACCATCTCCACTGGGCAAGTGAACATCCACCTTCATGGCGCAGGAAGAGAATTCTGGGTGCATTCAAGCTGCGAAGCACGAGCCTGAAGCACAAACATGTAATTTGCAGTGGCTTGTTTAATGTGGTACGGTGGAGCTTCACACTAGGTCTGGCAGCGTCCCCCCGTGAGGACCCTCCCAGCTGTCTAACTGCTACTTTGCGACCAAAGTTGTTGAGCTGATTCCAAAGATCGACATCAGCAATTTGTTACCTTCATTTACTCAAGTCCACTGGGAAACAGTTCAATGAGTGGTGGAATCCCTCCAAAACCGACTGAGGGAACATGTTTTTTGTTTTAAGAAGAAAGAAAAACAACTAAGCAAATGGAAGGTTAGCGAAGACAACGGGCCGTTGGCACCCTCCCTCTTACCCCCCAACCATGTTCAGGATGCACGTAGGATCCTTTTTGTCAGGGCCCAAAAAAATACCGAAACTCGGATGCGGCTCCGCGGCCTGTGCCCCGAAAAGCAGTTAAGCCATGTCCTAAACGTGTCATGATTTGCTATGTCGTATCATTCTGCTTGCGCCTCCAGCTTAAGCCACCTTACGCGTGTGGAGTTGTTCCTTCCGCGCTGGTCGATATGACATGACTCTTACTAAACATGTACAAGGAGGTTTTGGGCGCCGCTCAGTTGCGATTCCCTCCCCAGCACCCTCTCGTTGGCTTGGCTGGCGATGTCTTCTGGGGCTGATTACATTCCAAATGCTGGCTTTTTCCGCTTGAAACATTCAGGTCATTGTCCTTTGCGCATCTGGCACCAATGCAACTAGAGGCCCGCGGTTTGAAGTTGAAACCTTCCGACCTTTCACTTTCACGGCGCGCAACTCGTCCCACTGGCGCTTGTTCTCCAAGTGCGCCAGCCCCGTGCCCCAGGGTTCTCCTTCAAGGATGTTCCTAAAAGCAGCCTGCATCTCAAGGGGATCCAAGTCAGCTGGTACCAGCGGTGTTTCAATTTTCTTTTACCCGCCAATTAACATGGAACCTGACAGGGGGGTCCCCTTAAAAGGAGAATGGATTCCAGGACGCCCCTGCCAGGTTTCATGTTGGTAATTAGTCCAAACGTGTCCCAGGGCCCCTCTGCCCCTTCAGCTGTGCAAGCTGCCGGCTCCTCCGCCAACTCATCAAAGAGACTCATGATCCATGGCGACAAGACATGTCCCTCCAGCTCATCTCACATGGACTCAGTGGTTGTCTTGGAGAGTACTGCCACTGGCATGTTGCAATTTCTAAACGATCCGGGGAAAAAAAGAAAACAGAAAGATCAGTGTGTGATTTTAGAAAAACCTCAAACCCAATAGGTGCCCGCTTGTCAAACCACGTAAATCACCCTCCAGTCAACTTAATCTGCGTCTGCTTGCCCATGTTGCAGCGCGAGCTGCTATTGCTCATTTTGTCACTGCTCTCGTTTTCATGGACGCATCAAAGCACAAACATTTGTGGGCATTAGAGCCCAAATGGGCTGCAAAGAAATGGTCGATTCGATTTAGTTTAGAAAGCAGTTACGTCATGATGCATGAAAGTATTGGGATTCGGATACACTGCTTTGTGCCATCAGCACATACACACGAGACTTTCAGCACGCTGTCGAGTTCCAGAATGATCACACAGTCGTTGTGCTCCAGAAGCCTTCTTTCTCGACCTGCCATGCGCACTAAACAAACTGACAAGCAAACTGACAAGCAGACTGACAAGCAGACTGACAAGCAGACTGACAAACAACACATTGAGACTCAACCATAGTTTATTGCCCTAGATATGGCAGATGTTTGCATGTTAGCAACATGGTTGAACCCAATAAGTAGAACGTGCTGCCATAACAAATAGGTTGCTAAATGCCGCCAACATGCGCTTGCTTAGAAGCAATCCATGTCTTGGCAACTAACGAAACTCTATAATTGCTTGCGGTGATAATGCAGGACTTTATATCACAAAATACACTGCAAAATAACAGAACGCACAGCTGGCTCTACATTGAAAGGCACGGTAGTTCTCTGCTGAGCCGCAACTTGTTTTTCTTGCGCAAAACATCTCAAATGTCGCTGACAAGGACACCGAATTCACGCGTCTCCAATATGAGACTAAAGGCAGCTGCAACTGCAATGTGCAGGGGGCACTGAAACGGGCAAGGACACTGGCGCAGCGCAATTCCTAATGGCCCCTCAAGGATCCTCCACAGAAAAACAATACGACATTACTCGATGCAGCAAAATGCAGCAAAGACTGTGTCACCAACCATGAATTTAGTGCTGGAAGATCCGACTGCACGCTACAAGACCCAAGCGGTTGGCGTTCTATTTGCTGCTCGCCTCCTCCTGTCGTGCTTGGCATGACAGGCGCTCACTGACCAATCTGAACCCACGGCTGGCCCATCATCCTGGCAGCGTCAGTAGTCTTGGAATTTCGAGACCAAGCAAGAGCATACTCCTCATACGTGGCTGTGGGTCAAACATAGATACCCCAAACGAAATCTGCGATCCCCTCGTGGTTTAATTTTATTTGACCCATGCCCACATGCTGCCTGCTATCTACCGGCCAAACTTGAATGTCTGCTGAAACAAGGGGGAATGACACTGGACAAGGGGC